TTGCAGATAGATAAATCAGACTACCGACAATACCCCGATACTGAAACCCATCCTTTACCTTCTCACCTGACTCTCTGCTCAGTTTCAAATTAAGCTCCATCGGAGTATTTATTGGTTCACAATCTTCCATGTTGTGGTCACCCAAAAAATCAGAAATATCCTTCCTTTGACTTAAAATATCCACGCTTTAGAACGAGATACTTCCAGTTCCAAGAAGTAAGATAGCTTACCCAAGTCTTTAATATGAAAAGCAGCTTGCAATCAATCTTTAAGAAGCTGAACGCCATCTGTATCTAACCCCATGATTATCATATCATCCACATATAGTAAAAGCAGAACAATACCTCGGGGAGTGGTATTGATAAACAGCGAAGGATCCTTAAGACTTTGATAGTCGCCAAATCCTATCAAGAGTACCCTGAAATTTATCTAACCAAGCACGCGAAGCCCATTTCAATCCATACATAGACTGACAAAGTCTGTAAACCTATCCTGGACTTCCAACCCGATATACTGGAGGTCTTTCCATGTAGATAACCTCATCAAGGTCACCATGCAGGAAAGCATTCTTTACATCAAGTTGAGACAAAGACCAGTTCTTCATAGATGTTATGGCCAAAAGAGAGCGAACGGTCGACATACATGCCACAGGAGCAAATGTCTCATTATAATTGGTTCGTCTGTACTGTCACGCTAAAAAGTGACCAAGTGTAACCACAAACTAATTTGTAGTATAGCGGGTTTAGCTTTAAATGTCAACCCGGGTCCTAGATGTGATGACTACTCCGTGAATTCTTGTTATCTAGCTGTGTAACAGTAGTGAGATTGTTACTAAGCTAAAGAAACACAAAGCAGTAAAGGTTGTGGTTTAAGTTTGAGAGAGGTCACCCATACATGATTCCCCCTAGATTGTAGTTAAGCCAGGTTATAATTCACCTAGTCCAGATTTAATGAAAGTTATACCGTGGAAGGTTCTTATTCAGTCTGAAGTCTTGACTAAAGGTCTCCAGACCCTCTCAATCTGAATACCCGGCGGGCGACTAAGCTCCACCGAAGTAAACAAACTAAGGCCCTAACACACAAAACCTCCTCTACTGGAGTAATTCCATTACAAATCAGTGAATTGAATCCTCGACTAAAGTAGTCAATTCCCCATCTTCAATTAAGGGTGCTCTATCAACCTAGGCAGATGTTCTCTTTCTAGGTCAAAGCAAGAACTACCAGAATTTGATAAGGATTCAAGCAATTCAAAAAATCATGCCTCAATTAAATATAAACAATGTCAAAATATCATGTACTTGAGTTCATACAACCAAACCTAACATACAAATCTAGGGTTCTTCATATCCAGGTGAGAGAGAGAGAGTTTACTCCATAGAGAAAGAAGAGAAATCAGCTTCAGATGCAGCATTCATTCTGTGGACGATAAAAATCAGGTTCTGGTTGTCAATAGGTACTTCTCCAGGCTTCAATCGAGCTCCAATGGCGTCAAAACTCGATGTAAGTCACATTGGAGGTTTTGTTCGTCACTTTCTCTCTAGGTTTCATTTTGTTTTTCTAAGCTTGCCTCCCTCACCAAAAACCTGAAATTCGCATCTAACAGCTGCTGCTCCGGATACCCGGTTCAAATACCTGGTCGGTCATTTAGAGGACCCACCAGGTATATGTGAAACCGTGCACAGCAGTCAAGGAGGAATACCCGACCTACGGTAAAAATACAAGGTCGGGTATTTAGAGCTCTCGACCGGGGGGCCTCCTGCTTCTCTCGATGCATATACCCGGTATGTTACTTACTATACCTGGTCGGGTATTTAGGTGACATGACCGGGTATTTTCCTTTCCTTCTCCTCCTTGCCTCCAACTTCTTGTTTTCGACCCGAAACTCACTTCCAAGCCTCTCTTTCTGCGCCAAGTCTTGAAATATGACATAAACGCACAACCTAGCGTGAAATCAGCTTAAAACACGAGAACCGACTCTCAAATGGTTCAATAATAGTGGACAAAACATGTGCAAGTAGAGGTCTATCAAATTCCCCCACCCTTAACTGTTTGCTTGTCCCCAAGCAAAGCTGACTCAAACCAATGCAACTCTCCAGACCTTTACATCACTATGCAACCTCGACCGTTCGTAGAGGATTTCCTTGATCATTTAGAAACTTATAAGGTCAACCGTTTTCTAAGACATTCCCTATTTCCCTAAATTGTCTGTCCATTCCATTCACTTGTTGGAACCCCTTTTCCTTATTATTTATTTATTTTTCTTTTGTTTTTCACATTCGCACTTTGCTGGAGTTCCAACTGCAGTTTTTATGCGCGGTCGACCCTTATTGGGTGAGCAAGAGCATTTTTCGTACATCTCTCACTCGCCAGAGTACTTCTTTTAACTCATTTTCCTCACTTCGTGTGGAGGGTCAATGAAATAAAGGGGGTCGGAAGATCTATCCGTGCCCTTAAAACACATCCTCGAGTAGGCAAACCGTTCAATGGGTGGAATTTTTACTTGTAGTAGAGATGACTTAGCTTCACCTTGTAGGCCTACCCCACTAAGAATCACTAAAATCTCTTCCAAAACCCGATTTTGTGCAATGGACATTGGCACACACGTTAGTTTACCATACGTTTAAAATTTCAAATTTTTTACATGGAGGACCAACTACTTTAACATTACGCACTTGACCTTATACAAAACATGAGTCCACACACAGCAAGAGAGAGTCATTAATATCACATGAATCAAATGTCCTAAATCCACTAAGTTCGACATTGCCCTCAATGGAGAAGAGGGAAGGATAAGAGGAAGAATGTTACCGAGAAAAATAGACTGCAATGGGACTGGAAAGTGGACCAGTCAGACTGGGGAGGACTGAAAATGAGACAATTCGAACCAAGAACACGGGCTAGAGCAAAAACAACCACTCAAGCACAAAGGCGTTAGGTGAAGTTGTCAGCCCAATGACACAATATCCAAAAGAAAAGCAAACCAAACACAAAAATCCAGTTTGCACTCCTTCCCAAAATAAAACAAAACACACGACAAACACAGAGAAGAGCCAGTGAGTGCCTACTCGAGGCAGTCGAAGTTGATTTGGTGCATGAGGTCGTCAGGGTCCTGTGGCCGTGGTGGCGGTGGTGGGACAGGTCCTCAACATCCTCTATTATATCTTGTTCTGTGATGCTTTTCCTTGCAGCAGATGCAATATACCTTGTAGGCGCATGAGGAGTAGCATATATAATTGTATATGTTCCTCCAGGAAAGTCTGAACCTCCTTATTCCTCCCCATAATCATCCCAGGCTTCTTCACTTTCCTTCCATATTAACTTGGTCAACACAGGTTGAGTTTATGACTCCAAAATCCGCCCTTCTTTCTCATTGAACACCACATCCATGTTAATTAGTATTTTTTGTGACTAGATTATATATCTTGTAGGATTTTGACACTTTTGAAATCCCAAGAAAATGACACTTCACACTATTGTTATTCATGTTAACAAACCAAGACAGAAACGAAAATAGACACGAATTTAAGTGGTATCTCTGAAATTCCAGAACTAATCAACGAAGAGCTTGAACACTCTTTAGAACCCAAATGATATAAAAGAAAGAGCTTGAGGATTAAGACCGTAATAAACTAAAACGACACTCTTTATTCAAACTTAAATGGACTGCTCCTTTGGCGCCAAAGTCCGTCCCGGCCACAGTTTGATCTTCAGCTCCAACACGTTCGTAGTTGCACGAAAGAAAGATGTACTTGTATCTTCGTCTTGTGAGTTTAAGTGAAGGCAGAAGGAAGTCTCTGGTCCAAATCCGAGCAAGAGAAGGATTGGAGTCAGGAAGCTGGAGATTTGAGTTCAAATAAGAAGAGCAAAACAGTTGTTGTTTTGCTTAAGAGTTTAGAATAGGTGAATTGTCTTTGTTTCAGTTTAGTCCTTGAGATTTGTTTAGTGTCAAGTGAGTCCATCCGTATTTCCAGCATTACAGAATGCTTGCTTGTTAAGTTAGCAGATTAGTAGGTTGTTAGTTGAGTCACGTGAGCTGAAATCAAGGGTCAGGTCCGGGGCGGGTATCTTGATAACCATACTCGCCCCTTGGTAGGTTGGGTCCAGGTCGGGTAATTTATTACGTTGTGAAAGTCGGGGTAGCTCAACCCAATGGGTATGTAATTTATATGGAAAGCATTTAAAATATTTGTTATTTTCATTATAAGACCAAGAAACAAATCATAATATGATAAAACGTAGTTAAATTATTGGAGAAATCAAGGTTTTCACTATTTACAACTTTATAATAGCTATAATAGCTAAAATATGATGTAATAAAAGAAAAATATTAAGTAATTTGGCTAAGATTACATGTAATTTAGGCAAGAACAGGTCGAGAGTGGGACGAGTCATGTCAGGTCAGGTCGATGAGAATACTTATGCCCGTCCCGCCACACCTACGAAGCGGATTGGACAAAACAGATCAAACAGATCGGATAAAACGGGTTAGATCAAAATTGTCATCCTTGCTGCGGGTGGAAGGAAGCACCACGCCGATTCGACGCTGGAAGAAGTGGGGACCGCTGCTTTCCGTTTTTTTTAGTCTGGAATCCACCTTACTGGGTTCTTGAACGGACCTCGGCTGTAATCTGGGGATGCTACAAACAGATTTTTATTATTATTTGGGCCGGATGAGTATACGCGAACTGGTCCAACTGCATAGTACTTTGGGCTTCAACTGCGTTGGTGACTGAAAGCCCATAACCCCTGTATTTGTTTATATACCAGACCGTGGAAACTTCGTTAGGCACAGCATAGCCCAAAATGTGTATTTGAGAAGAGGAAATGGTTCTTTGCACTATCAAACCCATCAAAGGGCAATACACAAAAAAGGTAAATATTCTGTAACACTAATAACTGAATCGCTTGTTACAACAAATAATTACAGAAACAGTAAAACAACTAATCTTAAGACTAGTTAGTTTTTTTTTTTTTTTTTTTGACAAATAATTAAGACTAGTTAGTTAGTTTAGTCTTTAGTGGCATCTCATAAGCAACCATAGCTGATAATTTCAGGGGGCAGCAAACGCGTCGTCCACCCACTTGACGACACAAACTGATTTGGGCCTACCGTTGGACTTGTCGTCTTTGTTACTATTGGGCCGGGAGAGCCCAAACAGACCGTGGATTGCTCCCCTCACTCTATTCATCCGCTTCCGCTGCCGGATCTGCCTCAGCACCGCCTCTTTATCCAGCGTCCCTGCCGTGTCCACCGGCCGTATGCACACGTGGCTGGTGACGCCGCTCGGAATAACTCCTCCTTCTTCCGCTCCTTCATGATCCTCCGGAGGATTTCCGTCGCCTACTTCCGCCGTCGGCTGAGGTTTCACCACCGTGGAAGGCATGTTGATGTACTTTCGGCTCGTGCTTGAATGGGTAATAAGGCTTGGGTTTGGAGGTTTGGGGTTTTCAGAATACTTGGGTAGTTCTTCTGCTGGTTGAATTTATTTATAGGGAGGGTCGCCTTAGGACACGGTGTGGATAAGGTCGGTTTCGGTGCCCTTGGGGAGGGCAACTGTTCTGTCTGAATCAGGTGGCAATCCATTGGTTTTCTTAATCTGGGTGCTTTAAGAATGGCCGGAAGGTTAAATCCCATTTCTCCTATTTTTATATTATTTCACTAACTTTGATATATTCTCTGTGTCGGCATCACTGAATTGTCATATATATGTATATAAATTAATATTATAAGCAAATGATTCCATTCCAAAACCAAAGGTTTGCAACTTTGCATACAGGCTACAATATACTTTCGGTTTTATTGCTAACCTTCATGCGAATGCGAATAGCATTTCTATTATGCTATATAGTACCGGTATTTAAATGTACAAATTGAAGTTGTATTATAACATTAAATGTATAAGTTTAAGTTGTAGCATAAAGAAATTTGTACCATTATGTTATGGTACAATTTTACAACTTGAAGTTGTACCATCATATAAAGGTACAAGTTCAAGTTGTACCATAAAAGAATTTGTACAAGAAGTATAGGTACAATCTGAAGTTGTACCATAATGTTAAAGATACAATTTCAAATTGTACCATAAAACAAAAAACCTAGCATTGTAAAATTCCTCACATGCAAATGTTAGCTTCAGAGAAAGGAGAGATAAATATCTTCCGAAAATATTCCTACCTAACAAATATTAGGAATTTACCTTTGATAACCTTCAGTTATTATTATTGATAATGGATGGTTTCTTAGGATGACAAACAATAATTAATAATCCATCTGTGGGTATTCAATATAATCTGCATAAATTTGGTGGTTAAAAATTCAAACAATATTATTTTTTAGTAAATTTTCTTCAAATTTAATAAAAAGAGTGTTGGATTTACTTCGATTTTGATACTTAAATATTCACATCAAACCCACCCGAATATATACTACAATGGTATGGTCTAGAACCACTCACTTCAACACTTTGGTTATTCATATTCCATCAAGTATTATAATATTTTAGATCTTACTTTCTTCACCTGTTTTTCACGAGGAGTCAAAAATTTATGGAAGTTCAAGATAGACCCTGCTGGAGTTCTACAAATGTAATTACCAACTATACAAACCGCCTTTCACAAACCTGCAGACTACCACACACTACACAAAACTATAACTACCATTACTTATTACAAGAAAACCTTATTACAATCTAACATGCATTTCTAACCGCCTCTCCATACTGAGTAGATAGATCTCATGGGAGGGACACTATGATATTGTTGAGTAGACCCTCCTGCTTGCTAGAACTTTCATCATTCTATGATATTTCTGCCGGAAAGACTGATAGTCGCGTTGAGATAGAGACACAAAATTGGGAGTTTTAGTGCGATGTTCAACTGAGACACTGTTAGCCTCAATCCGATTCTTCCTTTTGGCTTATAACCTTGAGGGTTGTTAGTTTCTTAGCACCTTGTTTCTTTAAAATGGTACAACCTCCGGATTTAGTATAGTTATACTAACCATACAGAAACATTGTTAAGCAGTAAGCCATCCCCCTATTATGTTGCACCATCATTGCAAAAAAACTTTGTTTAAAGTAGCCACAGGCCTAACAACATGACCTAATGTCACGACTGTTTTCTACGAATCGAGAAATAGGAGGATTCGACAATGCAAGAAACAAAAGCACACACATGACACACGATTTACGTGGTTCACTAACACAATGTGTGTTAGCTAGTTCACGGACAAGAGAGCTAGTTTCACTATACTTCAAGTTTGAGGAGATACAAATTATAGAGCGGTATGAGAAGTATTTATAGGACCCCGTGACTTCCTGTCGTAGCAGTCGATTGTCCGATTCAAGTCACGTCAACAACCATAATCTTGACCCATTGAAGTTATCATTAAAATTTCTTTGAAAGTGAATAACTTTATCATTCATATGGACATTCCAAAGAGGAGCTAGGACCCAGGAGCAGATTGGTCCACAATTAAAATTAGGGATTTATATGAAATTACCCAATTGGTACCAAAGTACTCATTGTCTATAGCACTACTAACTCACTGAGATACACTTTGAGTACCTTTTTTTAGTGCAAAGATTACTTCTTGCCTATCAGTAACACAAAATGTATCTCCTTGGGAAAACTGCTCACGAAGCTCACTCCATGCATGAACGACATTGTTGATGTAGAGCAGACTATCAGCAATTATCTGATTCACTGATTTTTGAAGCAAACTTTGAAGTAATTTCTTATTGTAACCCAAGCATCAAAGACGATGTAATCAACAGGTAGTTTAGGGATTCTTCCATCAATAAAGCCCATCGTGTTCTTTGCCCAGGCGACATAGTTCCTTTTGTTGAGAACTTGGGAGACCAAAAGCTAGCCCAATTCTCACAGGGGTAGATGAATAACAGACTCGATGGACCATAAAGTCCAATAAAGCCCAACCGTGAAGACTGTTAGAATCGTTTGACGGAGGTCGACGAGTGTGTATATCGTGAGAATCAAATACGACATCATCATGTACGTAGCTCTTCCATTGAGAGGAATCTCAAAATCCACCATAGGAGGATCAGAGTATAATAAGAGAGTGGAAGGTAAAGAAACGACATCATCATGTGTAGCTCTTCCATTGAGAGGAATCTCAAAATCCACCATAGGAGGATCAGAGTATAATAAGAGAGTGGAAGGTAAAGAAAAAATCATGAAATGAGTTAGAAGGCTTTGATTCTATGCCAGAAGCTCGATAATCTAACAAAGAGAGAGATGACTGGGAGAAAAAAAATGAATAGCTTCTTGATTGTAAGCACGATCCATGTGTATTACAATATGTGGTTTGTAATCCTCAAGCCGTCTGAGACTGAATCTGTGATCTATAACCTTCTAAATCCAACGAAAATGACTTCTCGAAAAATCGTCCAAATTTTTTGATCCCTTTGGAATCTCCCAATAATGGAATAGAAAAAACCCACCCAAATCGGTGCTAAATAGACTTAATAATCTGTGAAGAATAGCCTAAAGTCAAATCCGTGATCCGTACCCTTCAAAATCAATGGAAAACAACCTTTCAAAAAAAATTGCACATAAATTATAAAAATGGTCATCTAAAAAATATTAGCCCAAATCGACGATTGACAGACTTTATCATCGGTGGAGAATAGCCTCAGGCCGCCTCACACAGAATCCGAGATCTCTAGCCTCCAAAATCGAACGAAAAATGGTGTTTTGAAAACATCGCCTGAAATCTGTGATAGTACGCCTTTGGAATCTGCCAAAAATGGACCCGAAAAAAATCCGCCCAAATCGGGGCTTAATAGACTTATTTATCTGTGAATGATAGCCTCAGACCGAATTGGTGATCTGTAGCCACCAAGACCCAAAGAAAATTGTGTTTCAAAAAATCGCCATAAATCTATGATGGTACCCTTTCGGACCTGCCAAATATAGACCAGGTAAAAATCTGCCCAAATCGGTGCTTAATAGTCTTCCGAAAAAACCATAAGACAAATTACGAAAATGTCCTTCGAAAATAATCTGCCCAATTCGGCGATTAATAGACTTCGTCGTCGGTGGAGAATAGTCTCAGGCCGAATCCTTGATATGTAGCCTTCAAAATCCAACGAAATTGGATTTTTGAAATAATCACTCGAAATTTGTGATGGTACCCATTTCGAATCTATAAAAAATGAACCTGGAAAAATCCGCCCAAATCGATGCTTTAATAGACTTAATCTTTTGTGAAGGATAGCTCTGCACGAATTCGTGATTCGTAGTCTTCTAAATCTAGGAATAATGGCATTCCGAAAAAATCAGACATAAAATTACAAAAATGGCCTCTGAAAAAAATTTGCTCTAATCGGCGATTAATAGACTTCATCATCGGTGTAGAATAAACTCAGACGGTTGTGGTCCGAATTCTTGATCTTCAGCATCCAAAATCCAACAAAAATGACGTTTCGAAAAAATCACGTGAAATCTGTGATACTACCACTTTGGAATCTTCCAAAAATGAACTCGAAAAAATTCGTCTGAAGCGGTGCTTGATAGACTTAATCATCTGTGAAGGATAGCCTCAGGTAGAATCTATGATTTGTAGCCTTCAAAATCTAAGGAAAACGGTCTTCCGAAAAAATAGCCCGAAAAATTATGATAATGCCCTTCAAAGAAGAATCCTCCCAAATCGGCGATTAATAGACTTCATCATCGATGGAGAATAGCCTCAAACCGAATTTGTGATCTGTAGCCTCCAAAATTCAAAGAAAATGGCATGTAGAAAAAATTGCCTGAAATCTGTGATGGTACCTCTTTGGTAGGGGTGGGCAACGGGATGGGACGGGGTACCCGTCCCGTTTGAAACGGGTACCCAATCCCGTTTGGAGAGAAATCTCTATCCCATTCCTAAACCCGTACGGGTTAATGGGTACCCATTACCCGTACGGGACGGATAACGGGTACCCATACTACCCGTAAATACCCATAAATATCTTGTCTATGTTTTTTCGACTTTATGTTCTGCTACCCATTTCTCGTCAAAGGAAGAAGAAGGGAAGTTGAAGCTCCCTTGTGTTTTAATTGTGTCTGGGATTACCTCCTCACAAATGATTTACGTGTAAAGGAAGCCCACCAAGTGATTTACGTGTAACCATCCTCATGATGAATGATGCTCACATTCGGTTATCCTCTTGTGATTATCCTAAGTGGTTTACCTTAGCTTTACTTCTGATGATTCGTGTATATATATATATATATATATATATATATATATATATATATATAATATACCCAGAGTACATGAATAATAATTAAGCCAAATTCCCACAAAGTGATGGCGCCACCAACCTGAGCAGCAAATTACTTACAATAATTTTGGACTAATGGGTATAATCGATACCCGTAATACCCAAATGGGTATTAACGGGTAACCCGTGGGTACCCATAGTAGCGATTCTTGATCCCAAGTCCCATCCCGTAAAAAAAATTACGGGTATTTGGGTACCCGTAACCCTCAAAAACGGGACGGGTACGGGTATACCCAAATACCCGTTTCCCGTTGCCCACCCCTACCCTTTGGAATCTGCAAAAAAATGGACCTGGAAAAAAATCAGCCCAAATCCATGATCAATAGCCTTCAAAATCCCAAAAAAAGGCCTTTCAAAAAAATTGCACAAAATATAATGAAAATACCTTCCGAAAAAATCTGCACTAATCGACGATTAATAGACTTTATCATCAGTTGAGAATAGCCTTTGGCCGCTTTAGGCAGAATTCTTGATATGTAACCACCAAAATCCACTGAAAATGGTCTTTCAAAAAAATTGCCTGAAATCTGTGATGATTACCCATTTGGAATATGCCAAAAATGGACCATGGAAAAATCCGCTCAAATTGGTGCTTAATAGACTTAATCATCTGTGAATGATAGCCTTAGGCCCAATACGTGATCCGTAGCCTTCATAGTACAATGAAAACGACGTTCCAAAAAAATAGCATTAAAATTTACAAAAATGCCCTTTAATCAGCGATTAATATACTTCTTCATCGGTGGAGAATAGCCTCATGCTGAATCCGTGATTTGTATCTTTCAAAATCCACAAAAATTTCCTTTTGAAAAAATATCCTGAAATCTATGATGGTACGCTTTGGAATCTGCAAAAAATGGACCAGAGAAATATTCGCTGAAATTGGTGCTTAATAGATTTAATCATATGTGAATGATAACCTCAGGCCGAATCAGTGATCCGTAGCCTTGAAAATCCAAGGAAAACGGCCTTTCAAAAAAGTCAGATGAAAATTAGAAAATGTTCTCTGAAAAAAATTCGCTCAAATCGACAATTAATAGACTTCATCATCGGTGGAGAATAGCCTCAGCCTTCTCATGCCGAATCCGTGATGTGTAACCTCCAAACTCATCCAAATCGGTGCTTAATAGACTTAATCATCTGTGAAGAATAGCCTCAGGCCGAATCCGTGATCTATAACCTCCAAAATCTATTGAAAATTGCCTTTCAAAAAACAGTGCTCGAAATCTGTGATGGTACCCCTTTGAAATGTGCCAAAAATGGACCCAAAAAACTCTTCCAAATATGTGCATATAGACTTAATTATCTGTGAATGATAGCCTCATACTGAATCCATGATATGTAGCCTTAAAAATTCAAGGAAAATCGGCCTTTCGAAAATATCGCAAGGTAATTATGAAAATGCCCTCTGAGAAAAATCCGTCCAAACTAACGATTAATAGACTTTATCATCTGTGGAGAATAACCTCAGGCCGCCTTAGACCGAATCCGTAATTTGTAGCCTCTAAAATCTAACAAAAATGGCATTCCGAAAAAATTGTCTGAATTCTATGATGGTACACCTTTGGAATCTACGAAAAATGGATCCAGAAAAAACCTGCCCAAATCGGTGCTTAATAGACTTAGAAGTAATTTATTATTGAAATCCCAACCATCAAAGACGTTGTAAGACAATCTCCAACAACAAATTGGAAAAATGCTAGAATGCTAAAGAGTTTTGAGATTTTGGCATCCAAAAACTGGGTTTTGCTTCAACAATTAATGCTACAATGCAAAAGTGCCAAACCTTCCATTTTAATGATAATCCAAATTACTGTAGATTTCATCATTTTAATTAGGTAGTTTGCAGATTCTTTGTATACAGATACTAATAATTAATTAGGACGAACGTTTTGATGTGATTTATTTAATTTTGACAAAAAATATTCATCATTAAAAATAATGTGGTTAGTGATGAAAATACAGTAATTGGTGGATTAAGATCGGAGATACAAATAATCACTTATAATGCAGGTTAAATATTTAAAACGTGTTTAATTGATTTTATTTTAATTATGAGTTTTAGAGTGGCTTTAAATGTGTTCATTGGTGTTTTAATTAAATGGTGTCTTTCTAGTTTCTACTAATAAAATAAATAATAAAGTGTTTCATCCAATGCTGTCCAAGCCGAGCCGGAGTATGACCCGGTAACGTGAACGGCTTGGTCATTAGTGGGCCAGCCGACATTAGACCGTTTAAAAATCGTTTGAGAACCGGTACCTAATAAACAGTCATCTGTAATAGTAGATGTTGTGGCAGGAGCAGCCGAGCAGGGCTGCAGGGGGCTGCTTGCGACGATTGCGGGGAGCAGAAGCAACGATGGCGACTGGCGATGGCGCTGCTTGCGGCGATTGCGAGCTGCTTGCGCTGGGAGCGGGGAGCAGAAGCGACGATGGCAACTGGCGATGGCGCGCTGCTTGCGGCGGCGAGCTGCTTGCAGCGACGGGACGGAAGTGCTGGGGGCCTGGGGCGATGGTTGACGGCGGCAGGGTGGCGCCGCTCTCCCTCTGTCGTCTGTTCTACTTCTAGTTCGAAGATGGAGAAATAAAAGGAAAGTTAGGATTTTATTTGGCTGCCCAATTCCACGATTCCTTTTCTATTTTTTTTTAGGGGAAACCAAACGACCGAACCGCGCGACCGGCTTGAGCGGCTCGAGCGGTTAACCACTTCGGCCGCTTGCCGGCCGCTGTATAAAATCGTGGCGGTTAAATAGCTGATCCAAGCCGGTTTTACGGCCGGGTGGCGGCTTTGACGGTCCGGCCGGCCGGCTCGGTTCGGCTTTGACAGCACTGGTTTCATCATTTCATGGGGAGGGACTGAGAAACATGCAGGAAAAAGGAAGGGAAGGTGGGGGCCAGCTCAAATGAGAGAATTTGACATTATTGTCTTTTTATAGTTGGCATTTGGGAGATATTTATCAAATTTTTGACTTTTTAGCTTCTTTCAATTGTTATTGGAGGAGGTATTTTAGCATTTTTAGAAACTTGGATTAGTTGTTGGAGATGGTCTAATCAACAGGTGGTTTAGGGATTCTTCCATCAATAAAGTCCATCGTGTTCTTGCCTAGGGGACGTAGTTCGTGTAACATCCCGTACCTTTTCCCGATAAGATACTGTCCGCTTTGGGCCTCTACACCCGCACGGTTTTCGACTTGGTGTGCAATTCAGGGTGACTTCTCATAAGGTCATCCATCCTTGTTGTGCTCCGCACTGAGCACGTTTAACTTTGGAGTTCTCGGAAGAACTCCTCCATTACACCCCAAAACGCGTCTTGTCAGTTAAAGCCGGTTTCCTACTTATCAACCATAGATCTCTCCCGTGCTTTGTCGACGTGGGATTTGCCTAAGGTGTTACAGTTCGTTTTGTTGAGAATTTGAGAGACTAAACAATAGCCCAATTCTTAGAGGGGTGGATGTATAACAAACTCAATGGACCATAAAGTCCAGGACAGTGAATTGCGTAGCGTGAAAACCATTAGAATCATTTGACGGAGGTCGACGAGTGTGTATATCGTGAAAATCAACTACGACATCATCATGTGTATGTAGCTCCTCCATAGAGAGGAATCTCAAAATCCACCATTGCACGATGAGATTCTCCAAATTGATGAATTCATTAAGTCAATTTATTTTCATTATCTGTGTTGGTTGAATATATGTTTTGATAAACATCTTGTTTGAAGACTGATCTAGATTCTAGTACAAAAGTAACATGCTTCTAGGAAGAAAAGACACAATCAAAATAATCACAAGTTTTAGTTGAGATTTGAAATCACTAATAATGAAGTATTAGAACGGTTACATCAAAACACTAATACATGTTTTGTGTAAAAAAATAAAACCGGAAAATAACAAAATTTTCTCATTACATATATTGTTTAAATACATTATCTAGCATCCCAACCTCCAAAAGACCCCTATCTAACAACATTTTTACAAGCGACCGCATTGGGTGCTAACGTTCTTAAATGTTAGCATCCTCCTAACAAAAATAATAAAGGCATTATAGTAATCCTAACCTCCGTATGCTTTCTCACCAACCTAGCGTCCGCTTAGTTCCCCCGCCCTGCGCATCGGTAACAACCGGACCTGGGGTGGGGCTCCGACAACGTGGGAACCTCGATGAGAGGAAGAGAACGACGGGACCAGGTGTGTTGACTCCAACGGCATTGCAACCTCGGCGAGTAGGAGGAGAATGACGAGATCGGTATCATTGGCTTGGACAACAGGAGGTGAGGTCGTGTGCTAGCACAACGCAACTGGTGTTGGTGGCGGAATAACGAACGCACTCAAATTGAAACCTTGGCGGCAAGAGAAGGATGAAACGGCTCAAGATAGGGTACATAACTGTGAGTAACCAAATTTGGACCCTTCTTTTAAGTGGCTGCAGATCTAAGGGTGGAGAATTAAAAGAATTTATTTTTCCTAGTTTTCTTGATTGGATCATACCTTCTTCATTCTAACTCGGATTTAATTTTTTTTTTTTTTTTTTGCACAAATGGAACGAGTTCGTTGTGCTCTACAAAATGATATCCATTTCCAATATTTTTTCAGAAAAAAATTTATACCTCTCGTTACCAACTCCATACCATATGGTATCTCCTTCGTTTTTAGTCATTTTTGGAAATTTTTGCACAGAAGGAACGATTTAATCATGATCTATTGGATTTCAAAATTTTATGGGTTAAATAATTTCATACCTCTCGTTACCAACTCCATACCATACTATACCAACCTGGTATGGGGTGGTATTTTTCATACCATATGGTATGCTCTTATTTAATACCAGTCAATACCATATGGTACAGTCAATACCATATAGTATAGACTGGTAATAACTGACAAATTTTTTTGTTCCAAAAAATATCAAAGTGGATATCATTTTGAAAAGCACAATTAATCTGATCTAACTGTGCAAATTTTTTTTTTTTTTTTTACTTAAAACGAGTGAGAAATTATCCGTTAAAGATTAAAGGAAAGAAAATTAAAGATTTTTCGAGAAGAAAAAAGGAAGCGCTGATGTAATGAATTCTTATTGGATTATGCATAGTTATTGCACCACAATATTAGTGACTGGATCTGCCCCGGATGGAACTGGTGGCATTGGCATCGACGGCAGGAGGTGAGGTCGTAGGTTTGATGGAATGGTGGTAATCGAGTGTGTGAGTTAGAAGCAATTTGATTTTAATTTGGTTCGTGAAATTGCAGTGCAATACAGGAGACCAAAAGGTTGTATTTTTATTAATATACATAACAATGATAAGACGAGCACTTCTACTATGCTATATAGCATTGGTGTTTTAATGTACAACTCAAAGTTGTACCATAACATTAAATGTATAAGTTTAGATTGTACCATAAAGCAATTTGTACTATTATGTTATGATACAACTTTACAACTTGAAGTTGTACCATCACATTATATCATTAAAAGAACAAGTAAAGATTTTACTGTTCCTTAGTGTCAAATCAAAAGGGGATTAAAAAATTCATTTTATTATCAAGGGAGTCTTTATTTTTGCTAAGTGTCAAATCAAGTGGGGATTAAAATATTAATTTTATTATTAAGGGAGTCTTTAGTTTTCCTAAGTGTCAAATCAAAGGGATTAAAAAAAAGGGGTTAAAAAAGGGAGCTTTCAGTTTCTCGAAGCAGAAGAGGGGAAGAAAAAGATGTAAAACAAAATAGAGGGCATGTTCACGGGATTAAGAAACTAGAGTTCCTTCTCTCTCTATATTTTTCTTTCTCTACTCATCTCTCAGGCTCTCACGTAGACGGAGACTCTCACGCAGATGGAGGGGGAGAAGTTCTCAATAGTGATTGGGTTATTTATTGGTGATTGTGATATTATCCCTTCTGTTTTGGTCTACGGCGGGAAGGAGGAAGGTGGTAGACAGGAAATTTGTGGCGGCGGCTCTAGAATCTGTGGTCTTTCTTCCTTCTTCTTTTCTCTAATTTGTGTTTGTGTTTTCTTTGTGGGATTGTGATTGGTTTATTTGTCGGTGATTGTGATATTTCCTGTTCTTTTTTGGTCTGAGGCGGAAGAAAGGAGGCGGAAATCTGGGAATTTGTGGCGGCGACTTCATAATCGGTGGTCTTTCTTCCTTCTTCTTTGATCTTTGTGTTTTCTTTGTGGGTAGTTGGTTTGGGGGTTTCTTGATTTCCGCTACTTGGCAGTATTTTGCATCATGATGTTTTGGCTGTAATTTGTGTGTTGTTTCTATATATATATACTCTTGATTTAGTTGTTGTTGGTGTCTTTATTGTCCTCTTTTTTTTTTCTTTCTATTTGCTGTTTGAAGTAGAACATGGTTTCTCATACTCTTCTATTGGATCTTCGTGAGACGGCTGGGTTGCAAACTGTTTTGAAGTTGCGGTTGTTGAATGCGTGGGGTTCATATGGCTTAAAAGATCCAACACTTATTTTCAATTACTGCACTCTTTGGAATGATGAGGAGGTGTGTGGTTGATGTTTTTATAGTTGTTCTATATTCTTGGTTTTGCTGGTTATGTTGTTGCATGTAAGTTTTGTGTGCTTAGTTGGTTGTTGTTCTTGCAGGGAACTTTGATTCAAGGGACTGCTCCAGCTAATTTGACTCAATATTTTGCTCCTTTGTTACAGTTGGGCAGGGTGTATGTTGTGAGTGGATTTCGTGTTAGGGATGCTGGACTAATATATCGTCATTGTTCTCATAAGTTGCTCTTAGTCCTCTCATGTGATACTGTTTTTGAGGATGTTACTGGTTCTGAGCCTAATTTCTGGTCAGATGCATTTGAATTTGCGCCGTTCAGTTCTCTGTATTCTCGAGTTCGCTCTTCAGTTTTTCTCACTGGTTTGTAGTGTTTTCATTGTCTAATTTTTTTTTTGGATCTTATTTGTGTTTTGGATGCTTCTTGATATTGTTATTTTTGTCATTTGTTTTTTTAGATGTTGTTGGTGCTGTTGTTAGTGTTACCGGCATTTCATATGCTACTACGTCATTTGGTCAGGATGTTCGTCGAGATTTGGTCATTCAGAATGAAAGGTGGGAAGGGTGGTTAGGGTTCTTCAATATATTCTTTGAGCAAACGGTTCTTATTGTTTTCTGTTTTTTTTTGTTTTTTTTCCTAATTGTTTAAGTCATATGAGGCTCGAGATTGCTCTTTGGGGCGAGGTGGGTCGATCGCTTGATGGTCAAGAATTGGCTGTGCTTGCTCGTGATGGTGTGGTTGTTCTAGCTATTAGTGGTTTGAGAGTTACTGGAGTTGTGAGAGGTACGTTTGTTTTGATGGTTTTTTGTGATCTTTTGATTATTTGAGGGTAATATTAATATGGTTCTTTGGGGTTTTTTTAAAAAAAAGGGGGGCTTGCATTGGCAAGTACGCCTGGTACGAGGTGTCTGTTGAACCCTGTGTCTGAGTTGGCAGAAATGATTCGTGCGGCGTAAGTGGTGTTTGCTTGCTTTCCTTTGGTTTTAGTACTTATGTATTCTTATTGGTTGTTATGGTTTTAGGTTTTTTGCTGTGAAAAATACTGTTCAGTATTATCCCCCA